GAGGTATAATAGAAAGCAGTGTGCGCAATGTGCGACACAGATGTTAGATATAAAAAGTTAAAAGATGCCTTGAGTGAATAAGTTGTAAAGATATACTGATACAGTGATACATTCGGATGCGGATGGATATAAAGATTGATTAATGGAAACGGATTGATTCATATCTTTTGTATCTATCTTTCCTGAGTTACCCATCTCTATTGCACTGCGGTGTGGCTAACCTCTGCGATTACCCCTAATGTGGGTAACTCGGACGCGTAATTTTTGTTAGTGAGGACTGCGTACGCGCTGTCCTCTTCATAATAAACTAATTACTACTAGTATCAATTGGCTGGCACCTACACCGTTTAGACATCTTCCATTATAACATCAACCAAGACAATCGAGCTTTATACTAACTCGAATGGCCTCATAGGACGCGCGCGGTTTCTAAATCGTATCGTACATACATATACATATTATTATACTTTCAATTAAAATAGATATTATGTATTTCGGTTTTTCCTTTAAAACGCTAACCGTTGTTCTTCTCAAATAACACTGAAATGCTGAGTAAAAAAAATTGTGTACCAGCAATTCTACCGGCCGTGGGCTGGATAACTTCTGAAAAAAGCTAACGTTGCTTTTATGCAGTTATGTTAACTTGTTCACTCGGAAAACAGCAATCGATTTCAATATTCACATAATATTCAGAATTCAGTTTATTTTTTCCTTACTCTATGCAAACAATTGTAATGGATAAGTGGTTAAATAGGTATGATATGGTGTTTAATTAGTACAATTTGGATTTGGTAGCCAATATAAGCAAACGAAACAGTAAAAAGAAAATAAAGTTTGTTATTCGAATTACAGGCATATAGCAGGTTTAAATATAACTGCGCGTATAATAATTTTTTCGGGAATAGTACAGGTATGATTTGTTTAATGTTTATTCACGCTCCGTACGAATAATCAAGTTTACTAATAGTTAATGTTTTTTTTTTTACACAGATATGTAGGACTGACGAAAGAAGTTTCAAGTCAATTGCTCATTAAATTATTTTAAAAGTACAAGTAAATATTAGTTGTATTTTAAAATATACTTTTAGCGTATTGAATTCATCACAATTTTTATTATAAAGATTTTAAAGACTATTCTTCATAAGTCCCATAAAAGCTGCTCGCAAATCTGTTTTCTTCATGTTGTTGAATAATAATAGTTCGCGCGTTTCTAATTAATAAGCTAGTGTTTGGAAAAGAGTGGTCTGGTTTGACTGCATTAACTTCTGTATAAAATTTATGTAGATAACACGTTTCTGCAATAAATACCTTAATTGGGTTCAAAATTAACAACTCAAACTTTTTCTAGTTTCGGCAAAAATAAACTTAATTAAAAAACTTATTTCATTGTGTAAACTGACATATTTTTGAAAGTATTTTCAACAAAATATGAAGCCATAACTGAAATAAGCCCCCGAATTGGTTTTATTTATTAACGAGGATAGTAATTCAAATTATCGTGATTAACTGAAAAATAAAACATGCTAAACTTCGTAACGCTATGGAATAAGCGATCCCCGTAGCGCCAGATTCTGAAGTTTATATGTTATATTCCAGAAATTCTCTAATTTATTACGACCATTAATTCTTTTTTTCCTCTCTTTATTTATTTAGGGATTTTTATTTGTTAACATTTCAATCACCACTCTATCACTCTATGATGAGAGATCTATGGTGAGGAATGAATTGTGGTCAGCACTGTCCGTGAACGGTGTGAGCAGTATCCTCATACGAGCATTGCAATCTCTTTATAGGGATTCTAGTGCTTGTGTAAGGATAAACGGGGCATACACTGAATGGTTTAATATCGAAAAAGGTGTTAGACAGGTATGTGTAGCGTCACCGTGACTGTTAAATCTGCTCATAGACAATGAGGGCATCCACGACTTTTTCTGCCTCCAGGGCGGCGCCACTTTACAGTGAGGTAAAATATTTAACAGATTTCACAGCGGGGGACGATAATTTCTTAGGAAAATGTAATATTTAAGGTTTCTTTCCGTATTGTTAGTTATATTTTATATAAATTACATTAGAAATGAATAAACTAAACTATAAATATAACTTAAAGTAGAAAAATTAAAACAGAGAGTTATAAAGTGCCAAAAATTAAAAATCAAACCACTGACGCATTGTGTTGTATATTAATATAATACTCTAGGTAACTACTAATTAAAACTAATTTATAAATTAACTAACACTAAATGTAACGAAATACTTTACCTCAGTCACAACTAGCGACATCTGGCGAGTGGAAGATTATTAGCCCTCATTGCTTGACAGATTTAAAAGAGAATGAAAGTGGGTTGAGAATGAATGAGTTACTCGTCAACTGTTTTCTCTATGCTGATGACCAAGTATTACTTGCATCTTCGGCCGAGGAGTTGCAGGAAATGGTAACTGCAATGAGTGGATCTTTTGTTACAAAGAGAATGAAGATGAATGTAAGGAAGACGAAAGTGATGGTGTTTGAAAGAGATGAGGCAGTGACAGACTGCATAATCGTGATTGGAGATGAACAAATTGAACAGGTGAAAGAGTTTGTGTATCTGGGTTCAAAGTTTACAAGAGATGGAAAGTGTGAGAGTGATATAGAAAGAAGTGTGAATGCAGGAAACATGGTGAATGGAGCTTTGCACTCCTTTATGAGCAGTCGGAAGGTGTCTAACAAGGCTCGTTTGGTTGTGCATGAGGGGGTGTTGGTTCCGACACTCATGTACGGAAGTGAAAGTTGGGCATGGCAGAAGAAACATGAAAGCAGAATAAATGCAGTTGAGATGAGAGCGTTAAGAGGTATGATAGGAGTTAAACTGAGTGACAAGATAAGAAATAGTGAGATAAGGAAACGTTGTGGTCTGAAAGAAGATGTAGTGACAAAAATTAAGAAAGGTATGCTGAGATGGTTTGGCCATGTCGAGAGAATGAATGAAGAATGATTGACGAAAAAAGTGTATAAGGCGAGTGTGAATGAATGTGTTGGAAGGGGTAGACCTAGGCGGACGTTTCTAGACCAAATCAGGGACGTCTTGAAAAAAGGCCAGGTCAAGAGTATCCTAAACCGAAGAAGCATGTATGAAGGGAATAATGAAAGTGGACTAAGCGAAACAAGTATGTAAGGATCGTAACAAGTGAAAAGAAATGGTCTCTGCCTAACCCTATGGGAAAGAGGCGTGATTATATGTATGTATGTACATTTCACTCCCATTATAACTAACTTAGAATCTATACATTTTATGTAAGTCTTCGTAGTCCAGAAGTTTCACAATTAGGTGAATCAGTTCTTTTCATCAGATAAGAATATTTTTTTTTTTGATGGAATGTGACCTGTTCTTATTCTCAATATCACTTTAATAATATTTCTATTTAATTTCGTATCTATAAACCAATGTATTCGGGGCGGTTCACTCTGTATTGTTTTGAACCAAATACCTTTCGTTTTAGAGCGTTCATCGAAAAATTCATTCCATTCGATATAACATGAGTTTTTGAATTGTGACAGTACTTCTGAGTAGCAAGGGTTAATATTATACTCTACACCATTTATACAAGCAGAATGCGCTAATCTATCTGCCTCCTCATGATCCAATAGACCAATGTGTGATTGAATCAATTGCACCCTTGCACAGATATCGCGTAGACAATATCAATGCGGGACAGCCAAGTGCTAAGCGAAAATGATTCGAGAAAAGGAGATCAATGTATCTTCATAATTTTAGTCTTATTGCAAGATTTAACTAATAGGGGGATTTTCTTGTGTTGCCAATATCCTGTTTGACAGAGAGTGCTAAGTTGCTTCAACAAATCAATTGTAACATTATTTGAAAATGAGCTGGTTTTTAAAACATATTTATAAGCTAAATATAATCTTCTAATATACAGTGGAGGTACCCTAAGTTCGCTTTCCATTTCATGTATTGGAGAACTTTTGATAAAACCACCAATAACCCTTAACGCATTATTTTTCATTTTATCTAATTTTGATAAGTGAACATTAGCGCAATTATCAAATAAAAAGCTACCGTAATCTATTCTAAATACTTCTTTTTAACGACATATACAGCTGTCGAATATGTTAGGGATGAACTCCCCACGATGACCCAGACAATACCATTAGTAGATTTAAAAACTAGTTCATAATAGACATTTGTATTTTAATTGAGAGTCCAATAATATATTCATTGAGGTTCCGCCCTTAAGTTTAATGCGCAAAAGCGTTGAGTTCCAAAGTGTGAACTAAATCTAAATAATTATATTTAAGTACAGAACTCTCTGGGTATTTTCGGGCTTCACTAGTGCTATGACAGACTTCGCTTGTAATTTTCTTTTTAGAATTTCCAAAAAGGAGACGGTACTCAATTCGACTGTATGTTTTTTTTATGTGTGTTACCTCATAACTTGGTACTGGGTGTACCGCTTTCGATGATTCTTTTTTTTATATGAAAGCTGATAGTTCTCGTGTGATCCCATATGAATTTAATCAAGGTTAAACCAATAGTTTTTGAGTAATTCTTAATAACTTATGTTGAAGTCGGCTGTACAAAATTTTAAATTTTAAATTATTTGTTTGGATTGTTCGCTGTTCGCAAGTACAATGCCTTATACTCGTATGTCGTCAATAATCGATAATAATCGAAATTAAAGTACGGGCTACAGCATCTACTTATCTATGTGCACATATATATATATATATATATATATATATATATATATATATATATATATATATATATATATATATATATATATATATATATATATATATATATTCTGTACCTATAGTAAAATAATCCTTTATACATAATATATTTATAGGATTATTTTATTATAGCTGGATTGTGTGACTTGTTTGTCACCCTTATTTTATAAAACAAGGAACTTATATCCTAAGTCTTGCAATAAGTACGAAATAATATAGAAGTGCAACCCAAGCCAATGGTACTTTTATTTTTAATATTTTGTTTTAGATCGACATGAATCAAACCCAGATATGTATTACAGTGGTGGGAGCATTGGTTCACCGAAAAGTGGGTCTCCTGTGTCGTTAGCCGATCCTGTTCTTAAAGGTAACTTATTTTACCAAGGTTGAATTTCTCGTAACCATTTATCAGTTTATTGTGGATTTTTTTTGTCACTAATGGTTAGATCTTGAGTAAAAGGACTTTTTTGATTATTTGTTACTTTTGAAGTATCGATTCAACCCGGTCGAAATATATGAAAATTAAACTATATTTAGGATTAAATAAGGCTAAGAATTATATTAGATAATATTTTCTGCAAATATTTCACTTCTATAACTACAGAGTTACAGGAGGAAGCAGGAAAAATTTCAGGCGTTTAATTAAAATCGATATAAAGTAAATAAGAGTATGTAAGCGTTACGTAACGAATCATGATAAGTTTACATTTTACATTATATTGAAGTGTTGACCTTTATGTTATAATTATTAGTTTTTGATTCGATTTACGTAGAAAGGCTTACAGTAAGTATAGTGAATACAGAAGATCAAAATATTGCAAGTCGGTGATGTTGAAAGTTTTGTATAGAAATTTAAAAATGGATCAAACTAATAAGTTGCCTTTTCCTGTATTATTTTTTGAAAAGTCTATTCGTGTTTACTCCTCTCTATGTGTAATGTCGAAATAACTGCCTTTTATTTAGCAGAGGGGGAATATTTGCATGTTATTAAGACATGAATGACAATTTAAAAATTTTTTAGACATATCTGTCTATTCGGGCTTATCCGTTGAGCCATTCCGAAATTTATAGCCAATTTTTAGCCTGAACAGGGATTTTTATTTGTATTTTTTTTTCAATTATCGTGTTATATTAATCAACTACGAGGTGTTTGAAAAATGATAAAGTTATGTGAAAATTTAAATACTTGTTTACGTTTTAAAAAACTCAAAGTTATTTGTATTGAACTTCAGATAAAGACGAGCATAAGTCGATAGCTCATTTATATATATGAGTGTTATTTGTGCAATATGTATTTATTGTTTTAATGAGATCAGGGCATTGAATACTAAAATAGAAGTTGAGATATTTGTCATAATCGTGAAGTTTTGGTCTCCAAAATCTATAAGCAAAAAAAAGTTTCGTTTTTCCAGAACGTTCCAATCCGTCAGAAGTAGCAATCAAGTGGGATCTGAAGAACGTATCACGCGAGGAACCGAAGCGTAGTTCCCTCGCCCTGCACGCTCTCTCCACCGCCGACCGCGATGCGCACTCTGACAACTACAGCCTACGATCCTCCGCCGATGTGAGTATTTTGTATAACCCCATAAAGATAGAGATAGTAGTAGAAATGTTAGATTTTAGAAAGTATATATATAGTAAATATATATAATTTATTTTATTTCTGAAGCAACTTTGTGGTCACAGTGAACAATAGGCCTCTCCTATAAATTGCCTCATAGGAAGGAGAATTGCCATAACCGTGCTAGACAGGCGGGTTGGCAATCGCAATTTTATTGGGGTTGTTTTAGGAGAGTCCTTCTGCGATAATGCATTCTCTTGGACAAAAAAATGGCCGTGTAGTGGTGACGTCATTTTAAATAGCCCCTTTAGAGCTTTTTTCACACTTAAATTTAATAACCGTTATTTTAGAGATGGTAAAAAAAAATAAGACATTATATTAAACAGTTGTAAATTAAATAAATAATCAAAAGTACTATATTTTTTACTCCGTTGAAAGTCCTGTGTAATATCTTTCGTGCCGTAAGAAGGGGAAAAGATATAAAGCCATATGGACACTCGCGCGCAACAATAAAGTTTATTTTAGCTTGCGTCCGTAATTTATGTAATTAACAATAATTATGTAGGCTATTAAAACGTAGTTAGTAGTTAACGTCAAAGAATTGTAACTTCTGTACGTAGTACTATTATTTATTCTGACTATGAGAGTCTTGTCCTTGCGGCACACACTTGTGCACCATAATCCTGGAGGACATTAATTTTTATGAGTTTCTCCAGATTTTAGACATATCATCGAAACCGGTCTCGGACGCGGCGCTAACCGACATCAGCTCGGACGCGACCGGGCACGCCGCCTGCGACATCGACTGCGACTGCGACCACTACGACTGCGACAGCTGGGACGAGTGCGAGCAAGACAGCTTCTCTTAAACTTAAACACACGCGTGTCTCTGGCATATTTGCACTGTGCTCGTATAGTATTCAATACAGGGATAAGAGATAACTGTCACTTATTGAAATACGATAAATGATTTACAATGATATCAAACCATTGCAATTCGACTGCATTTTTAAATAAAATTACGATGATTAATGTTAATGTTTATTTGACATTATTTATTCAAGGTTACAATTAAATCGAAACCATACAAGAAATTATAACAAGATATGTTGTGTACACCCCTGCAAGAATAGGAATTACACGTTGAATTCGTGTTCAGAGTTGATTGTGTGATATTCACGAAGCCAAATTGTTAAATGTTGAATAGTGTATGTATAGCAGTATTATGATATATGTAAAGATGAGACTGTTATTATAAGTTTTATGTTGTTAATGTAAAGACTTCGTTGGAACTAATATCATACTTTAAATTAATTTTTTTGTATTTTTTCTCCACTCTTTGTGGCACTATGGTTGTTAATAATGACTTAGTATATTTTTGTTAACCAAATAATTTAACTAACCTCAACTTTCTTCATTCGGTCAAGGATTATACATAGTTTCAGTGTTAATACTTCAGGAATTATTACAAAACATAGAAGAAAAAGCTTTTGTTGTAATTGTGATTATATTTATTCCGACTAGAATTTTAACTTTGGACCATGATAAATTTGACTGATATGTTCTCTGCTGAGCCATAAAGTGGTGAAGGCCTACGTGCTGCTTATACGAACGCAAAATTTAAATATATAAATGCTGGTGTGTGGAGTCAGTGAAAAGTTTTTGGATCAACGTAATCTAAAGAACAACTTAAGCCATGATAATAATATGACAAACGAGCTCACAGTCCACCTGATGGTAAATGGTGGCTGTGGCCCATAGTCATCTACATCTATCCTCGTTTTCGAATCAAAATGCAGATGCGTTGTCACCCGTGAGGACTAAGATAAAATGCGTCTTTTCCAGTAAGCCGGTTCTCTACACTCACCATACGAAACACAGCAGTGTTAGTGTAAAAAATGTTTAAAGTGCCGGCAACGCATGTGCATTTCCCCTGGTGTTGCAGTAGTTGTTCATGGGTGGCGGTAGTCACTTGCCATCAGATCAACCGCGTGCTCGTTTGTACCCACTTATATAAAAACAATGGGTGCTAATTAAGCGGACTTCTATTTAATAGCATTATTCTCCTCTAAAAATCTATATTGTAAATCTATATTGGATTACTAAGTCAGGCACCATCAATCCGCGTCTGGATGATACTATCTTAGCCACTATATCACATCTTCGATGTAAACTACTGTAAATACAACTGAGCATAGTAGTTATTTTTTAGCATCTACATAACATAACATATAACCTAACCTAATTGTGCGTATAAAATGTAAAATCCGTGGCTGAGTTAGTAAATTATAGGTGATGATGTAATATCAGTGGGACAAGTAAAAATAATTGTTGTTCTTTATTTGACTCTTTTTTTTTTTTGGAATATTCAGTTGGCATTTTAAAAAAAGGCGAATTAGTTTATTCGAAGCTTTCTCATTTTTCCGTTGCTTAGTTATAAAATCAAAGGTTGGTTTGACTTATATTTCCTCAATAAAAAAAATCGCCGATTTAATTGACTAATCGCGAACAAGCAAGACGAACCGATCGTCGATGATTCCTTCAACTAGCTTCGTTTTTGTAGAGCGTTTCCTATATCTCACATTGCTATATTGGACTGACGCACACTTGATATCCTTACTATATGTCACAGAGTATATAGACACCTAATTTTAGAGTTGATCATGTTTCAATTGAATGACGTCATAGTGCCACAGTTTTATTTCGTTAATGCATTATTTAATTTGGTAATAAACATATTTGGTGTTTTTTGTAGTTCATACTAAGCATTTACTTATGTATATATTGTTCATTAGGGTTTGTTGTATAATGTCGAAACTAATTACGGTATTATTTGGATAGTAGGTGTTGTTGGACATTTTTCACATACTACTAAAGTTGCAACAAGTAATTAACACAAATAAATTTTGGTTGGCAGGTACGTCCTAAGACAAAGAATTTAATATTTTAAATTGATGAAAGAAGTGTCATTTTAAGTAGGTGAAATCAGTGTTACTTTTTTTTATCAATATTTTTAAATGTCAGTATTATCATGTTTAAATTTACAAATAACTTTAAAATTTAAAGCACTTAATTTAGAAAAGAATGATCTCTATTTATTTATAATATTAGAATTCAATCAATTTTAGGCTATAAAATAATTAGGCTTAGATTATAATTCTATTTTGTAGATGAACGTAGCATGGCAACAATTTGTATAAAGGCAAGGAAAGTATAAGAAGTTATTCTTTTAAGCAATCCAACACAACCTTTTGTGAGAAACTTGTGATTTGCGTTCGGAATTGAATTGGAAAAAAATCAGAGGGAAAACTATAGGTATAGTTCATTAAACATTATTTTATAAATTGGGTCAGAAATGGCTAACATTTGTAAGCTAATTACTTTTTTTTACATCGACTATTAAAAATATGTCATACTAATAAGTCAAAGTAAATATCCTTTATTTCTATCCTATTTCCTCAGAAGGATAATGTACTAATTGTTAATGTTCTTAAATGTGAGAAATAAATCAGACCTATATTATAAACAGTAATAATTTTCTCTAAAACAATAGATCGGAACGGTTTAAGGTCCATTCAATTCTCAAAGTCTCCGGTTCTCTACACTCACCATACGAAACACAGCAGCGTTATTTTATAGCGTTATATTATTGCAGCATTCAGCAAATTTTAGAGCGTCCTAAGAATAAAAAACACTGTATTCAGATATATTTGTGTGTTTCTAGTATATTCATTATGTGTAAATGTCTGTGGCGTCTCCCCAATGTATGGTATCAAAATAATTACACGATTAGAAAAACAAAGGTGCTAGCGGGCCGCCATTTAGTATCATCAAATATTTTAAAAATGATTTATTCATTAAATTTAAATTAAAAAGAATATTCATTTATCTTTTACAGTTAATATTAAGTATTTATGTTTATTAAATGATACAGTTAATATTCAGTATTTGTGTTTATTAAATGATCTGCATTAAAAAATCAGACTTTTTTGGCTTTTGACTGATATGACGGTTCTATAAAGTTAGCGGCTAGTCCTTTATTATTGTAATCGTATTGTATTTATTTATTCTAAAATATTACCAATATACTTTCAAGTAAATTAAATGATATGGGAATTAAAATAGCGGATTATACCAATTTATTTAATTTTTAATAATAACAAATGTACGGTGCATGATTGTTTATTAAAATTGATATCGAGCAATCATGGTTAATTTTAAACTACAAAGACTTACGAGGGCAATGAAACGACAAATTTTATAAACAACTCTGACCACATTTTTTTTGATAGAAGTGTTTTAACGGCTTAAAGTTATTTCCTAAATACCAACAAAAAAGGCTCCATTTTAGTTTTATTAACACTAGTACATAAAAATATATCGCTGTGCTTACAATTTAAATTAAACAGTACATTAATTAATGAAACAACCAGTCAAATGTAAGGCGACTTACTTAAAGTAACATAGAAAAGAGAATATTTTGACCGTCTCATATTTCTTTTATATCATTTTTAATAATTCCATTTAACTTACAAAATATTGTACTATGTCATAAATCGCGGTGACATTACCACCTCTTATGATTAGACTAAATTAGAAATGAGTATTAGGACAATACCATAGTATTTTCTTACACATTAATTAGCTATTAAGAGTTATGTATAAATTTTTAAAAGAACCAAATTTGTCATCTTATAGAATTTATAGTATTATAATAATGTATTTATAACTATGTAAACCGTGACATATCTAATTTGGGTTCAAATTATAAATTTTAATCCATGTCCACTTTACAAAAATCTATTTAATACTGACTAGCCCGGCAGACGTTGCTCGGTCCGTTCCGGTCAATGGGCCAATGAGTTTCACTTCAGACTTTTTAGTGTAAATATAACATTTATTAATAACTCTACCACAGCGCCAATTTAGGAGTCTGAACTGCTGTCTCTTACGTTTTGTAAAGTTCGATTGTCAATAAAATTGTCTTATTAATTATTGTTTGGGGGTATAATGTACCCCTCTCTCTCTCCTTATCTGCCTAACCATTCGAAATAAATTTAATGAACATTGATTATTAATGACAGTGAGAAGAGGTAATACTGAAGCAGCATAGTTAATCAATCTAATTTAATGTGTGTAATATTGAAAGGATACGTAGGATGTCTATCTATACACTAAAATATACAATTTTGTCTCCTTCGCTAAAAATATCAAAAATTAACAGTTATTATAGCCATGTTGACATTAGTAAATTGTGTGTGTAAGTTATTATACATACACTAATTTTGAACTCTGTATTTAAGAAATTGTTTGACTACAGTTTTCAAAATACGTAGAGGGATTTTACACTTACTGATAACTAGATATGTCTTTAAAAATAAAAATAAAATGGTGGACAATAAAAATGTTACATAATGGCATTAAATAATCAATGATTTAATATCTTGGTCTGTACTTTAGAACTAACCTAACCTATTTTTTTATATTAATACTATATTGAAACATATTATGTAGCTAATAAATACAGTTTCATTTTTATTGTCCAGTGTGTCCGTGTCTCGATTAGTGCCTTACAACGGACGTCGGATTATTTTGCTTGAGTAGGGACATTGTAAACAATGACGATTAAAATACATTACTTAATTACTCTATGTTGTTTTAATTCCATATCATAATCGCCAAATACTTAACCCATAATGAGAGCTTTAAAAGCAATGGCAGAAAATGCATTGATTATTTCAATTATTCTGACATTTTTACTAAAATAAAAATTTTATTCCATATCATAATCATTATTCTGTTAATTATTCAAAATTACGGAATTATAAAAACCGAGAGAAAACACAGTGGGCGGGGCAGGCATATCACG